TATAATACTATACTAATATATATCTATATACTATATATATATATATATATATATATATATATATATATATATATATATATATATATATATATATATATACATATATATACAACATATATACCAGTTGTACAACAAAAGAAAAAACACAAGCACAAAACACTCACACACATGCGCGTCCACGCACTGATACAATCGGTCTGAAAATGAATATATGTGTGGCCATCTACAACTTACGGTCCAATAGAGGCAGATGTCTTAATCCATTGGAATATAGTGAAGTGAAGATTCCACCACCCACTCCAAAGGCAGTGTTTTTCTGCTTTGGTGTTAGAGGCATGTTCACTGTGCTCTGCTCAACAATACAAAAGTCTTCTTCGAACAAGCCGTCGAGACAAACATGTATATAAGCTATATACTATAATTATTTTTTAAAATGTTGAATGAGAAATATGTATGACTACACAAAATATGATTATAAATAGATTAGTTTTAGTTCATAGTTAAATGGGCATACCCTTATAACAAATAGGGACCCCATAAATACTGATACTTTTACAAAAATAGATTTAGGACAATGCAGAAATTGCGACTGTCGTGAATTAGTCCTCTTAAAAATAAACACTGTTACAATGTATGTATTCAAAACGTAGGTATTTTATATCAATGATTCTTGTTGGCTTTTTGCTTTTTTGTTTGTTTTAAAAAAGTTTTGAATATGTAGTTGGAGTTTCTGTAACCCCCGTCTGTAAAAGCTCAGCGATTCACCGCTAAATATATATTTATGAAGTCATCACAGCCCAGGTCAACACAAGTCAAGATCAGACCAAATTATAGGCACACGAAACTCGAAAGTGACTGACGTGATGTTTTATACTATTTGTGCATATAAAACATTTCATACGTTTAAATTTAAAGTGTTCTAAATATAACAAGATATTACCATTGGTGTAAAAATTACTCCTTCTAATATGATTGGCTCGTATTCAACTGAAATCAGGTCGGTCACATGTACAAACTGACTTGCCCAATGCCCCCTGTGTTGTTCTTTAATGTTGACGAAGTGAAGAGAGTCGAGAACTCACGAGTTGAGACTTGAGACTTGAGAGTCGAGAGACTATGCGACAGCCAAACACGTCTACTAAAGTTAAAAACAGCCCGGGACACGGGGCCGAGGCCGGTCTCTTGCAAAGGGTGGTGCGAGAAAAACAAACTGAAAGAAAAACTATCCCAACAAACGCAGGTCCCAGAGACCCAGACTCCCAGGCCAACCAGTCACCGCACCCGCCGCCCAGGCCCCCGGCCCCAGGAGGACCACGATTCACACGAGTGTCAGTGAAGTGTACACGAAGCAAATAAAGCCACAACTCACACGTAATGCTGCGCCAGTTTTATTTCATATACTAATTATAAACCATGTCAGCCGAAGTAGCCGCAGCCACCACTGAGGTACCCGCACCTGCAGCGGCTGCCACTGAGACTCCCGCGGCCGAGACAAAACCCGCAGCAGCCACTAAAGCGCCAGCAAAGGCTGAGGGCAAACAGAAGGATTCAGATTCACCTAAGTTGTTCATCGGACAGATCCCCAGAGACATGGCCGAGACTGATGTCAAGGCGGTGTTTGATGAGTTTGGCGAAGTATTCGAGGTAGTGATCCTTAAGGATAAGTTCTCTGGACAACCTCAGGGCTGTGGTTTTGTTTCATACATGCACAAGGCTGATGCTACCAAGGCCATCGCTGGGTTGCACGACAAGAAAGTGCTTCCCGGTTCCGCGAATGCGATGCAGGTAAAGGTTGCTGACAGTGAGAAGCGTAAAGATCAGGACAAGAAGTTGTTCGTAGGTATGACCGGACGTCTTGCCGACGAGAGCATGATCAAGAAGATGTTCGATCCCTACGGTGTAGTTGAGGAGGTCACTATCCTCAAGCACCCCGACGGTAACAGCAAGGGCTGCGGTTTCGTCATGTTCGCTACACGCGAGCAGGGTCAGAGTGCCATTAACGCACTCAACGGATCAACCACACTTGATGGCGCTACTGCACCTCTCGTAGTGAAGTTTGCCGACACCGACAAGGATAAAGCTGCCAAGAGGCAGACCCACGGAGGCCCACAACACGGCAATAGTAATGGCTATGGCGGCGGTTTCCAGCAGAACATGCCCAACCCGTACATGCAGAACCCGTACATGATGCAGCAGCCCATGATGCAGCAACAGAGCCCCTACATGAACCAGGGCTACCCCATGATGGGCCAGCAGCCATACGGCGGCTACGGCCAGGCACCCGGTATGCCTCCCCAGGGAGGTATGGGTATGCCACCCCAGCAGCCAGGCGCTGAGCCAGCGGCTGGTGGTATGGGTGCACCTCCCCAGGCACCTGCCCCCTATGGAGGTTACAACCCCATGCAGCAGCCACAGCCATACGGAGCTCCTCCCGCAGGCGCATACGGCATGGGAACACCCGCGGGATCTGCCGGTATGAGTGCACCCAGCTCAGCTGCGTCCAGCAACGCCAGTGGCCCTGAGGGAGCCAACTTGTTTGTATACCACGTGCCCAATGAGTGGACTGATAACGACCTATACGCCAACTTTGCACCTTTCGGGACAGTTTTGAGTGCGAAAGTGTTCATTGACAAGAACACTGGTCTGTCCAAGTGCTTCGGATTTGTGTCGTACGACAATGCCGCCAGTGCCAGCGCCGCCATTCAGTCGATGAACGGCTACAGAATCGCGAACAAGATGTTGAAGGTTCAACTCAAGCGTCCCAGGTATGTGTTGGGTGTTTGGTACACGTAAACAGCTTTACAACATCTTACTGTTGATCGTTTCGAACACCGATGTTTGTATTCTCCTTGTTACTATAATTAATTCTACGGTGTTTCTGTTTTCTTATCGATAATATTGTTGATGCCCACCCCCTTTCAGAGATTCGTCGCGCCCATATTAAGTGAGTACCAGAACTTGTCCTACGGTTCGAGCACGTGTACACGTTCTATCCGAGTAACTTGACACTTAACTATGCTATGGAGTATGAACTGTTGGTGGCCTGACTTGCGTTGAGTTGACCGTGACGTATCTCGTCCTGTCGTCTAATAGCCCTGTTCCCTCGAGTGTGATTTGACGTCAAAATTTGCCGACAAAAGTGCCGAAACGTGTTTCGAATGCCGTGCCCCCCATAGTGCCCAATTGAGATGGTCGTGGGTTGTGTCAGATGTACAACAGTAACCTGAACCATGATATTTAGTATAATCAATATGTGCATGGTGATATGCTCTGCACACGAAGTGAAGTGAAATGAATGACGCAATTGATGAGATGTAGTCGGTTGCTTATTATTTACTTTACAGTGACCGAAACCTGCTTTCGTATACATGAAATAATGAAATGGAATCGATGAGCACTTCAGATGGCTGTGGCTGTCTTGTTCCGTATATTTTCTTTGGCATTTGTTTTTTTCTTGCGCGGGTTCAGTCCTGTCCCAATTTGTACTGCATCATTCATTATTAGTTGATTATGGTTGTGAAATACAAGCTTTATTTATTGTACTACTGAATATTCTCCTGAATTGTTTGATTTAATTTTGAACTTTTTTTGGCTAGCTATCGCCCTTTTGTTTAATGATTACATCTTACTAATTAGTGAAGTTTGCTTTGTTGGTTCGGACGTGCTCTACATGTATCATTCGTCTCTTTTTGATAGGTTATTGAATGATGCGTCGTCTATTTGCTCGATTTGTTGCTTCTGTTTTTCTTCTATGACTTTGTAGTGATTCGTGTGATATTCAGCATTGTAAAAGCTGCAATGTGCCATGAAGTCTTGCAATGCTTCTCCTGAAGTTTTCGACGATGCCAGTATAAACTGAAATCAATAAATCAAGGAGGAAGAAATTGAAAGAATTTTTTTTTATCGAGCTGTATGAATTGCTGTCCACGAATGACAATGAACATTACAGAATCGACATGAAATCATTCTTCTGGTCGACAAACATGTGTCGTCGCCTTGGCCTTCCATATCCCCTTATAGCTTAGAAACTTCCTATCTGTAGTTAGGGTCATCGTTTAATGATTTTCAACGCGTTAGCGTTACTCCCACGCGAAATCTGCGGCCGCAGTGCTAGCGATATCTTCTGCCAAGGCAAATGACGCCGTGCACGCGGGTGATGGTGTATTGCGAACGTGCAGAACGAGACCATCCATTGCCTGCAGAGTGTAAGAAGTAGTTTTGTGTTGAAGTAAGCTGTGGAAAGCAGTTTGGGCCGGCCTATACTGTGAAAGACATTATTGCCAACGTATGGAGATACAAATCTTTAAATTTTTTTTAGAAGTATATAGATACAATATGTTTTGATTTCTTCACATACAGGTATATGAGCATACTCTTGTTGTTTCTTTTCATTCGAGATGAATACGACCCTCTCCAAAATACGCATTCATTGTGATCATTGCTGAAAAACTAGCCATTCGATGGGATTGTACTTCCCGAAACAGCTGGTGTACCGTTTCTTCATGGGAAAATACGTTGCAAACGTTTCTTCATGGGAAAATACGTTGCAAACGTTTCTTCACAGGAAAATACGTTGCAAACGTTTCTACACGAGTACACATACACCTTAATGTAGAATTATTCGCATATGAACACGCATGTGCCCGAATGTACCAAACATACTGCTGTCAGGCTAAGTATAGAAAGCTATACATGGGCCATTGACTTGCGCAATGGCCAGCTGTCAATACGTATGCAGATGAAATTGAGCGGGAATAGAATGGTTGGCATGTAAACTAACGCCATCACTAATATTCATTCTCATAATGACTACAAGCGTAGAGCACCAAGCGGTTCCTGCGTAATAATCGCACACAACATACCTTGCGATCGAATTCGAATTCGTTGATGACCTTGCCGTCTATGTGCGAGAAGGCAGTGCCCATGACACCCACAAAGGACTCTTCCACCATGTCGTCTGTGATCGTTGGGATGAGCTTGCGAGCCTGTGCATGTGCATTGTAGAGCAGTCACGCGGACGAGACATTATGAAGTCGTCCAGTACCACGAATCAAAGTCTGTAGCGCCAACATGGCGACTTTTCCGAATACTCCCAAGTATACTATGTCGTGTGCTGCGGGGCTACTCACGGCACCGCAAACACGGCTATACGGGTACTGCGTTGTTGTATGGCACATAGCGACTTCAACAGGACAAACCAAGCTTTTTAGGCAGGCTGTGTACTTATAACACGTGTCGCGTCGTGCGGTGAACGGAAATGACACATACAAGCGTGTTGCGAGTCGAACACAACATGGTGAGTCGTAGAAGACGAGTCCTTCATGAGTGATAGTACAACTTCAACTCGAAAAAGATCAACGATGAGATCTATTCCTAGGTAGGCAAACCTGCATTGTGCTGTAGCAGACACAAGTGTACCACGTACATTGACCTTAGTGTGCATACCTCATTCAGGAACGCGGTTTTGCTCAAATCCCTATAGGCTTCGGAGATTGACAGACCCAAGTTACTCGCAACGAACTTCATGGCTCCCACATTGCCGGTCAGCCGCATGAGTTCTTTGACGCTGAAATCAGAGGCTTTGTACGCCTCTCTATCAAGGCATATTGACGATCCTGGCACAGACAATATGGACAAGAAGAACACTTTCATGTTAAACGTTGCGCAGAATCTAATGAATAGAACAAGAAGTGCTCCAGCCCTTAAGGATAAGTGATATTGCCCACATAAGGGAATGATATAGCCTCCTTGCTTCGCCATGAGGTTGATCGCTTTACTTTGAACCACCGTATGATACCTCTGAATCGCCTTTGCACCCGCTCTACTGTAGTGCGTACAGGCATAGATACCTTGGCGGCATGCATATAAAGTCTCGCGCACACACCTGGTCCCACAATCATCTGCTCTCCACGGCGCTCATTCACTGTCGGTGTAAAGTGTACGCCGACGGCGATACCTGGAATAGCAGGAATGTGAAAGCAACAACTTAATGGGATGGAGCATTGCGTCTACGCACGTGCTATGGATGTGGTATTTCGCACCTGGGTATCTACTGTGAAACTCATTTTCGCGAACTAATACAATAAATGTAATCGATATGCACTTATATTGTATTGATACTTATCTGAATACCTGTATGGACATACCGCAAGCCCTGTCTATTCAACTGGGGCCGCTGATAAAAATGAAATCTCAACCAGAACTATCTGTGCCTAGTTTATCTATTATTGTAATGAACTGTTTCGTCTAGCAATTCCGCAAGTGAATCGTATAACAGTGCCAACATCAGTGACATCTTTTCCAGTTCGACATAGTATAAAGTAAAATGATTGTTAACTGGTACATTCTGCTGTGCAACCACGACCACTGATTGTGGGTCTCGTGAACTGTGTCGCTAGGTTTCTAGATTGATCCACACAGAAAACACGCACCTAATTAAATCACGCTGCGGCAAAAAACCGAAATATCCCGGGTGGTAAATCGGCCTAGATCCGCAATATGCTTCAATGCATGCATTCGTCTAACATGTGTATAACATCCCAAAAGTTCCGAGAGAACTGTTCGCCACTCAGTACAGCCATGAACTCGGCTTCATCGCAGTACAGTACAATAAACTTAAGATAACCACTACATGATTCGCACCGCTAGTGTAAAGCCCGCGAACTCATTGACTTCAAGAAAAAAAACAAAACGAAAACGCTTAGAACACCGGCTGTACCACATGAACAGAAGAGTGCAGTGGCCAAATCGCACTCGCTCTATGATTAGGATTAGCTTTTGATATATCCGCATACATACAATCCTCTACAACAAAAAGCTCTATGGTCGGAACACACCTATGCTATACCCCCATGCATACACTACTATATAGGCTATAGCGTTATGGGTGGACAGACTTGTGCTATATTACCATACACACACTGCTCTATAGGATATAGCGTTATGAGTTGACAGACTTGTACTATATCACCATACACACACTCCTCTACAGAAAGTAGCTCTATGGTCGGAACACACCTGTTCTATACCCCCATACATACACTACTATATAGGATATAGCGATGTGGGATACACTACTATATAGGATATCGCGATGTGGGTGGACAGATTTGTGCTATATTACCATACACACACTGCTCTATAGGAAATAGCTAGTACAAGTTCCTCGTACTGTGTATGCACGTACCCGCTCCCACTTTCGGTGCTGGGTACACATTGGCTGTGACAATGTCCTTGTATTCCGCTTTCATTTGCCAGTACCTGCTGGACAAGAAATTTGCTGCATCAGTTATAAGTAGAACACCGTGCTGAAGACACTGCAACGTGACGCCGACACTGAATCGGCAGGAGGAGGGCTATACCAATATGTAACGCACTAAGCCATACTCATAAAACATTGCATTGCACTTATTTTTTCCACACAGATAGAGCGTATACAATTCACAATCGCAATACTATGCAGATAATAGATACTGAGAGAAGCTAGTACACATGCATAATGTGCACAGGATATGGCATAAATGATTATGTGCTTACACACAACTGACAATGACACAGGGGAGACACATCAGGTGCAAAAACTAAAGATACACCAGGTGCAAAAACTAAAGTCACACCAGGTGCAAAAACTAAAGACACACCAGGTGCAAAAACTAAAGAAACACCAGGTGTCAGAATAAAAACACACCAGGGACAGAAATTGAAGACAC